AACATGTTTTTTTCTGCTGTAAAGTTGGGCATTTTAACATGGGGAGTCTATGGGATTGACTTCCTTTTGCAGCCAGCCTCTAGCGGCCAGTTGACGAATTACAGTTTAAGTCACTTCCGTGTTGGCTTCACGAGAGAGAGCGGGAGGTTGCCGCTCGATCAGTACTCATTGATCGTGATCCAGCTGCACTTCCAGAAGAAGCAAGTCTGACACTATATTTTTTATGATTATTTGCAAATTGCCTTTGCTCTTCCATGGAAGAAAGGGGCGGGTGAGCAGAGCTCATTAGCATTTAAAGGGACATACCCCAAAATGAGTCGCTGTGAACAGAGCAAGGTAAAAAGGGTGTTGTTTTACACGACCACTGAGGAATTTTAACCAAAGTATGTTGCAGACCGTTCATGAAGACCCTAAAGAATAATACCAACTTGTGGAAGATCAATGTCTCCTTTGAAGCATAGCCACCACAAAATCAGACTTACTTTGAGATCATTCTGAGGTTAAATATATATTTAAAATCATAACAAGAAATATTTTATTAGCTATGATACTGTTTTGAAATCAAATCTCTCCATAGCTATGACATGAAACACTGGAATCTAACAATGCCTGGGAAAAAAACTATGAAGCATAGAATAAAATAAGAAATGAAGCATAATTAAACCCATATAGAAAATAAAAAGATTATCGAATAAGCATGTTCTAAACTCCTGAAACACTTTCATATTTTAGAGCAGTCACTGCAATTTATGAAAGAAATCAATTAAATCTGTATGTGGGAGTGTGTGTGAAAAAAGCAGATGTAACCCCCTTTGTAATCCTTAACATTTTCATAAGTAACTGTAATTTAATTACACAATTTTTCTCAGTAACTGTAACTGATTACAATTACTTTTATTTTGTAATTAAATTACGTAATTCCGTTACATGTAACTAGTTACTCCCCAACACTGCATATAAGATACATAAATATAGTTTAATTGGTCTGAGTACAAGGTTTTATTTTTTCAATTTTGCACCCTGTTTTGTCCCACTTCTCAAGAATGACTGAAACGCATTTCTTGTCAAGACAAAAAGGGAAAAAACTGCCGTTTTGAGTGGGGCGGCCAAGCTTTTGTCAGTGGTGTGCCACGGCCAGGCTCCGCCCCTGACCTTGTGGTCCGCTGACTCTGCAAGTTATACATTTTTAAATATAAATTTATAATATATATTACGGTTGTTTTAAAAAGGAAAGTGAGAAAACAATTATTTACACAATGCAAGCAATATTTATTAGTAGGCCTAAATGTATTACCTTTCACTGAATTAATTTTAGTTTACAAAGTTTGTAATTAAACAAAGATGTTCCCTGTTTTGAGGGCTGTTGCTGGTACCCTTTTCAGCTGTACTTGTGAGCAGATGTGTGGGAATGCATGTTTGTTTAATGTTTTCTCCTGTGGGGTAATACGCTTGTTTTTTTTTTTAATTAATGAAAATAGAACAAATAACAAACAGAGCATAGCATAAGACAGTCAGTGCTATACAAATTGTGACATTAATTAGTAACGGGAACTGAAAATAGTGTCATGTTAATGACTTTTTGTTTTTTAACAATTTCAGAGAAGATATAAAACAATCAAATTCCACTAAAAATACCTTAAATATTGGGGATGAATTTAAGCAGTTTTGTTTATGCATATAAAATTTTGCCAGCAATATGAATATATTGTAACACTTTACTTGAAGGGGTGTGCATAAGACTGACATGACACCTTCATAATCATGACATGACACATGTCATGAATATGAAGGAGGTTTTATGCATGTTTATGACAACTGTCATTAAGTGTCATTCGCCCAGTTATGTAATTTTTAATGCAAATATGACATTATTTGACCTAACCCTATACACCTAACCATAGCCCATAACAAAGACATCTCAAACAATGTCATCTTTGCATTAAAAATTACATAACTGAGTGAATGACACTTAATGACAGTTGTCATAAACATGCATAAAAAACCTTCATATTCAAGACATGTGTCATGTCAGTCTTATGCACACCCCTTCAAGTAAAGTGTAACCGAATAAATTAACAATGTATTCAAGACCTTTGTTAACATTGTTTTCATAGTACACAATAATATCCTTTTAAAGAAAAACAGTATTTATCCTTTACTAGATTAAAAATCAATTCTGCCAATTCCTTCCAAAAATGTTGGGTAATTTTACAATCAAAAAATAAATGTGATTACACCTCTTTCTCATTTTTACAAAAGGAGCATAAATCATCAATATCAGAGTATCTTGAAATGATTGATTTAACAGATGGTATGCAAAATGTTTTTAATGTATTTCTTTAGTTTTGTTATTGATACAATATTTAAAGGGAATTAACCAAGCAGTCTTCCAATGAATATTATCAATAATAGAGTTCCAAAAGAATTTTCCTCTAGGTGCTATTTTATTTTGTCTTTGGAAAACAGTACAAATATGTTTGTTATTGCATTTTTGATCAATCAGTTCAAGACCGTTTCAAATGAAGGTAGTAGGCTTGTTCGTAGATTTCTCTCCTCCTCATCACTGACATCAGACTTCACAGCGGCAGCACAGAGCCGGCTCGTCTGTGACCCGCTTCTTCTTCATCCGGCTGCTTCTCAGCGGAACAACACACGGTGAGTGCTGCTCTTATACTCGTTCTCGTGCTCTACAGAATATGTTATGGCGTGTTTGTTGGCGCAAATATTTGGACGGAAACATATTACGAAGGTTTTTCTGTACACTTCGCTCGGGGGTTTCTGTTGTTATTCACTATCATAGCAAAAAGACAACAACTTTTGCCTCTTCTTCCTTTTCTATCCTTATTACCTTTTAAGCGTGTTTTTCATTATTAGTATGATTTTTAAATCTCTAATTATGGTTGTCTCTTAAAAATTGTATGGGTCACAGCCTTCTTTTAAAACTTGGCAATTAAGATAAACATTTTCACGTTTGTCTATGCAGGATATACACCCCGTAAGCAATTGCTATCTCTTCTTAATATACTTAAATTATTTCTAAGCAAATTCCCTTTTCGTGAAATTGTCATTTTATTTTGCGAGGAGGAGAAATAGAAAATGTATGAGCGTGCGTCTGTGCGGGCGCACCTGTGAGTGCACAAGCTTGATCATATCTTGATGTTCATAATTGTGTGTCTTGAATTGAGTGGGCAGCTGAGTTTGAAAGCGTGCAATTATATATGAATTTCAATTAGACTCCAAATAAGGCTCTTTCTCGTTCTGCACACACAAAGAACTATAAAACTGTTAAAAATAAAAAGGATGTAAAATTAAATATTAAAGGGGTCATATGATGTTATTTTAAAGATCATTATTTTGTGTATTTGGTGTAACAGAATATGTTGACATGCTTTAATGTTAAAAAAACACAGTATTTTTCAAATACTGTATATTATTGTAGGCCCTCTATGCCCCGCCTCTCTCAAAGCCCCCTCCTTTGACAAGCGCAGTCTACTCTGATTGGCCAGCTGACCCAGTGCATTGTGATTGGCCGAACACCACAAGCACACGTCGGAAATGTAACGCCCCTTACCATAATCGCGAGCATCAGCGTGTGTGTGTGTGTGTGTGTGTGTGTGTGTGTGTGTGTGTGTTAAATACTTTTCACAGCCAAATAATGTTACACTTAATAATTTTATCATTTATTTATTTGTCCTTTATTTGGCCACAGTTGCTGGAATGGTTCGTTTTTAGAAACTTTAAGTCATCGTGTGGTCTTCTATTGTGTTATTATCAGTCCATTTTATGGTAATAAACATATTTTAATAGATCAAATAGGTAGATATAATTAACATTATATAATTTAATGACATGTACTGTTAGGTACTGTAACATATACAGGAACAAAAATGCCATCCAGTAATAGGCTACTTATAACATCATCACCACCATCAACCACAGATTGCAGTTTTCTACAGTAAATGTAACAAAAATGATTTTTACAGTCCTGCAAAAATGTGATTCTGTGACTTTAGAAGATTTTCTTAGGTTTTAGATGCATTTTTTTTCTAGCCCCAATAAATGAATCTCATGCGGGCTGTATTGTCATACTAACACAGCTGCACAGCTCGTAAATATTCTTATTATTAATATGATATTCTTGGTCATTCGTTTCCATCATTTGGTACTATTTTTTTTTTACTTAAATGTTTTCAGCATTAGTGTAAACCTAAAGTGGTGCTTGGTATTTTCCAAATGTGTGTTCTAATTACAGAACCACACTCCTGAAGAATTATGTTTTTAAAGATGATACTTCATTGATCATGCCATACAGTGGTATCAAGACAGTGACTGCAAAATGCTGAATGAATGTCAAAGAAGTCTGAATGACCTTCTGCTGATTCTTGCTGGAGGGCGATTGTTAAGAGAGAGCAGACGCTCCAAATGTAGACCATCCCTAAAACACTTCCAATCGTTTCGGCTGTTAAGAGACCCCAAAGCAGATCAATAAAGACCTTTGTGTGATTTGTTCTCCAGCCTCCATCTCCTGCTGGCTAACTGGGAATCAGTCTTTGAGGAACACTGGAGACAGCTGGTCTATTGCTTAACAAATGAGACACTGTCTTTCTCTCCCGCTTATCTTGTATGGAAACTGCTTTGACTCTACAGAGACGTTTCCGTGTGGACCAATTTTACGGTTGATGTCATATGGCGTGGTTCTCCACGTTCTCTTCTTTTTGTTGTCTTCACACGTCACAACATGCCTATAAAGACATGTGACATGCGCCCGCTCAGTAGTATGTGCTTGTGTGTCTGACTGTTTTTGGGACAGGATGAAGGAGTTTTCCCTGCTGTGAGGATGAAGAGCATTCTGCCAGGATGCTCAGCTAGAAGATAAGGAGACACATTGCAGGGAGCCAGTTGTGATACTGCGAAACAAAAGCGATATTTGATGGAGCACCACATGTGTTGCAAGCAGTCACATTGGAGACAGCATCTCTCTCTATCTTTCCCTCAGCTCTCTTGGCACCAGATGGATCCTCCTTATGGCAGTTTTAACACTTAGCCTGTTGTTACGCGTTTTGTGTCCTTGACACTTTTAGAGCTGCCAAAACGAACAATGTGAGGTGTGAAATTGCTGAAACTGTTTGTCAAGAGATGGGTGCTCTCATTTGTGTAGATGGGTTTATTTCCATCTTTTGAAGCATTCTTTTGTTTGATTTTTGTCATTTTAGGAGGCTGCCTGTGAAATCTTAATGTTTCATCCAACCTTATCTCAGATTCTCAGAGCAAGATTGGAACGATGCAATTTGCAAAGCTAAGCACTTGTTTATTCCCTCTGATTGATCTTAGTCACATATAATGTGCTTATACAGACTGACACACTAGCAGTGCAATAGCTGACTTCCATTAAAAAGAAATTGTGACGAAGCAATACCCTTTAACTGAATGGACTAACATTGTACGTATGATATTTGTATTACAGTGACACTATTGGTGCCTGTTTTTCTGTCTTTCCACATTTAGTCTAAAGATTATGGTTGGTTTAATACTAAAGTTTTGGTTTTGGTACACGTCCCTGTGCCTCAGTATTGATACTAAATCAATATCTCAATACAAAACGACAGTAGGTAAACTGTTAAATATGCATGATAATGGACACAATTACAAATCGAATTATTTAAATGCTGTCATATAGGCAGATAAAGTTAATCTTTAAATCAGGGTCATAGAATGAACAACTAATGACCTTAAAAGCCAATAAAATCTATTCAATAACGCAGTAATAAAACAAATAAATATCAATTTATAATCAAATTATCTAGGTATATCTCAGCATATTTTCCAGTTATATTCCAGAACTTAAAATATATTGTAATTAAAGGGAAAACAAGACAGAAAGCCAAACTCCAGCATTTGCTTTCATGTCCTTTCACTTTGCATGAAGTGCTGAACTGTGCTAAGCATGAAATCAAATATGTGACCCTGAACCACAAAACCAGTCTTAAGTGTCAATTTTTCAAAATTGAGATTTATACATCATCTGAAAACTGAATAAATAAGCTTTCCACTGATATATGGTGTGTTAGGGTAGGACACAACTATTTGAATATCTGGAATCTAAGGGTGCAAAAAAATCTAAATATTGAGAAAATTGCCTTTAAATTTGTCCAAATGAAGTTCTTAGCAATGCATATTACTAATCAAAAATTAAGTTTTGATATATTTACGGTAGGAAATTTACAAAATATCTTCATGGAACATGATCTTTAGTTAATATCCTAATGATTTTTGGCATAAAAGAAAAATCTATAATTTTGACCCATACAATGTAGTTTTGGCTATTGCTACAAATATAACCCAGCAACTTAAGACTGGTTTTGTGCTCCAGGGTCACATATAAGTCAAGTCTCCCATGTTCTTTGCCTGAGCAGTGCTGTTTGTAAGATGTTGCCTTTTGTAGGCATTAGTCAGCAAGGCAGCTCTCTAGGTTTTGTAGCAGAATATCTTTGATGCTTCTCAATAATGCCACCCTTTATTGATGATTGTCTTCACGGTCTGACAGATTTGGTGGGTGTGAAATTTTGTGGGTGTGAATCGGCCGTGGGCAGCATCCCCTCATATTATTTGGAGTGCAGCTAATTGCTTCTACGCACCAAACATGACCCGATCCTAAACATCATAACTAAGGTAAACCTACATATGATTCCCGGAACAGAAAGTAATTAGAGTTAGCTGATATTGACTGAGAAAATGTTCTCTGTGTCCCGTATGTGGTCTGTACTCACCTCATTCAGCATCAGAAAACTCACACAAAGATATAACCTTCTTAGATCTTCCAGTTGAGAAAGTATGTATAGAGAAAAAGCTTCACGCTTTCATCCTGTTGAAAAGCTTTTTTTTGTTTTTTTTTGTTGTTGTTCTGCTTTCTGGAGGTAGCAGGGGTGCAACAGATGGCTTATGAAGCCCCAGATCTCAGCAGGAGGAGATGTTGAAGACCTCACAGTGGAAGCTCTCCCTCCTCTTGAGATGTCAGTGAGTTCATTAGTGAGCTCCACATTCCTTTCAAACTGTTGCACAATATCATCCAAGTCGCTTGTGGAGGCTTTTATCAGTTCTTCACACAGTAGTAGGATCTGAAGTTTCTGAACACCATGTTGTCCTCAAACATACCCTCTGTGGTAACTCCACCGCCTCGCTGTTTTCTTTCTGGGATTTTTTTTCATTCTCTTTCTGGGTCTGGGTCTCGCTGTCTTTTGCTGAATTTCCAGCACCATGCTGGACACTTTGCTGAATATCTTATATCATCTAAACTTGCCTGCTGTTATTCCACAAACAGCAGAAGTACTACCACATGAATCCACGGAGACCTCTGGCTATACTTCTGTGTTGTTGTATCTCATATGTACTGTATGTGTCTGACACTGAAGCATGTGTTTGTGGTTTGTTTTTGTGATACTACAGAGGACTATCTGTTGGTTATTGGAATGTGCTTCCAGTATGTGTATTTGATTAGCCTATTTCTGTTGGATGGACTGGAAATAGCAAAGAAATTGAATTAAAAAAATATATTTAAGATATACTTTAGCATAGTGATTTTTAACAAACTTTTTTGTCAGCTGAACACTTTTAAACTGAAATATTTACTTGATCTATACACTGGAGATTTTATGTTA